TTTTTATCAGGAGAAAAAACTTCTTAAAAGCTTCTTAATGTCTATGCTTTTCTACTAATTTTCCAAAGCCATCTAATTGGCTGGATTGGCATCTTTACCGGGTCAAGTGTGGCCCCCGAGCATTATGTTTGACTCTCCTGCTCTAACTTCTGCTGTATCTAATATCCTTCAACAGAATGAACCCAAGCATCTGACAGTAAAGTTCAGGAGTGAAAATGCCGACACACATCAGACGGACATCAGGATGAATCACTCCCTCGTGTCGAGGTTCAGAAAGAAACTAAAAAGCCTTCCTGTTGCAGGTAAGTAGTATAAAATGCAGCAGCTTAAAGCATGTGGCTCTGATTAAATGATGTGTGACTTATATTCCTTACCCTCATTGACTTACTTTTTAGATTACTATGGCCTTAAGAGTCCAGGTCTTACATGTTACCTGAACAGCGTGCTTCAGGTGCTTTTCATGACAGAAAACTTTCGCGACGCTTTGAAAAGGTTTGAAAAAACAACTTTATTTGGGATGTTTTTAAATGTGGCTTTGTTGTCTTGAGGAGATGAACACAGCAGTCATAAGTTAGCATAAAGCCTAGATATATGGGAAAGAAAAAAAGAAGAAATGTAGGAAAATCAGAATAAATCAGAATAAATCAGAAATGCAGAGTATCACAGAAAATGTTTTTTGTTTTCTTTTACTCTTTGACTCAGTTTTAAGAAACAAGATGAAGTTTTTCTTTTATTTAACAGAAGTGTCAGATTGATGTGAAAGTGTATTTCTTCCAGGAGTTAATACGTGTTAAAATCTGGAACTAAGTGGAAATATAAAGATTTTAATCACATTACCTTTGTTTCCTGGTTACATATTAAGCAGTCCAGATCACCAGCGTGCCAGAAAAGACTCACCAATCATTGACTCAGAGCTGAGAAAGCTGTTTGATGATTTACAGAAACAATTGGCCGAAACACGTAACATCACAGAGAAGCTGGGCATCACAGATGGTAAGATGGTTTATTTAACCTGTCTAATTATTCTGTGTGTGCATTTGAAATGCAGTAACAAATATATTATTACTGGTGCTCTGGTAATAATTTTGCGTCTTCTTCTATCTCCCTGATCTTCAGTATTTGAACAACGTGATGCTGCTGAATATTTTGAGAAGATTTTGTGTATGACGAGCCAGGACGCTTCCAAGGTGCGACCAATATACAGCTCTGTTTACTTTAAGGGCACAGTGTTCATTAATCAGTGCTGAAATTTGAATATATCTAGGTACACATGTACAACGTACAGCACAGCAGGCACCAGCTGTAGCTGTCTGCTAAGTGTGTTCAGTGCTGCTCAGTGTTAAAAGCGTCTTTTGGAAAATAAAGAATCTGATTTTTTTATGTAGGTTGTTAAACCATAAACACGTGTCTGGGTAGTTGATCAAAAATTAATATATATATATATATACATATTTTTTCAAATATGTGCAGTAGCTGAGTTAAAGTGTAAAGATTAAAATACTTAGATTTACCCGAGACGATATAAGAGGGAAACATAGTCAAAGTATTTTGAATTCTGCATGCAGATTTACGAAGCAGTGCAGATGGTGGTGGAAGTTTAACTTCCAAGGAGAAAAAAGTTTAAAAAGAAATCTTTTTAAAAATGTAAATGTTGGTGATTCTATACAGACTGTTTGTTATGTTCCAGTGAGTGTTGACAGGTTAAAAGTTCATTTATACAATGCTTAACAAATTAATTAGACCGCCACCGTATGATAATGACTTTAACAGCATGCACAATGTCTTTAATCAAAATGATAGTTTTAATTCTAATATTTAATCCATGAACTTGAGCAGAAAAAATTAGCAGAAATTACTTTTTTAATTAATAAGCCAAATGAGTTATTTATTTGCATTCCTGAACAGAAAATAGGAGTAGATGTAGCAGTAGGCCTCACAAATTATTGTACTTTATTCTAACAAAATGCTTTTGTCAGTGCAGTATAGCTCTAACAGTGTCTCTGATTACATGGGTGTACAGCAACAATTGTACTTTTTTTGTGTCCAGATCTTTAAAGGAGAGCTGAATCACAGGACAACATGCTGTAAGTGCGACATGAAGAACGATTCCAGGAGCTTCTTTTGGATTCTGCCACTAATGGTGGAATATTCAAGATATAAAACCTACAATGTGGTACTGAATTTTCTTTCATTAAAAGCAAGGGTATATATTTTCAAAATGTTAAGAGAGCAATGTGTTTTACATAAAATCTTCATGATTTGTAGGAGCAAGGACTCGAAGCTTTCTTTGAGTTACAACAAGTATCTGGTGATGACCAGATATACTGCAGCCGCTGTGATGAAAAGCAAAATGCAAACATTGTGAGTGATGAATCTGATCTCTTAAAGTTTTTATCACAAAAGATGAATGCCTCTGGTTCATGTAGTTGTTTTTATGTTGTGTCCTAGAAATGGGAGATAACACAACATCCAGATGTTCTGACCCTCCTGCTAAAGAGATTTACCTTTGACTACAAGCTGAGGCGCTACGTCAAGCTTCACTGCAAAGCTGATGTGCCTCAAACTTTACACATGGAGGTATTTAAGAGAGAACAGTTTGTTTTAACTTTTATCTTTTAAATTTAATGACTTTGTTTTATTTCCTTCTCTCCAGAAATGTACTTATGAGCTCTACGCTGTGGTTAACCACTTTGGCAGTCTCACAGGAGGACACTACACCGCAGAAATCAAATCATATGAAAATGGGCAGTGGTACTGCTTCAATGATGGACGTGTTGAAAGTGTAAGGGAGCATAATTTGACAAGTCCTCAGACAGTTAAGTGTTTAACAACATGACATTAAGTCATTAATTTATTATTATTTTTCATTTTTCAGGTCAAACTATTTTTTGCTAAAGAAAACCCACTGAGGTAAACACTGATTTTGTTTAATGCCACATGAGGAATATTTCCTGAGCTAGAACCATGTAATGTCTGACATGAAGCAGCTGGAGTTCACATTATTCAGCTGGTTGACCTTTGACGATGTTTGATGGCGTCTTTCTCATAATTCCTCATAACAGGTCTTCTACAGCTTACATCCTCCTGTACAGGAAAGGTAAGTTTGCTTAAGATCACCTCTTATAATTTTTTAAAATTCATAATTATAATTTATTTGAAATGGTTAACCCACCGAGAAAAGAAAATCATTTCCTACTGTAATCTTTTCCTTATGATATAAAGTGCCTCGAGTCAACTGTTGTTGTGATTTGGAGACAAATAACATTTAATTTGATTGAAATTGAAGGTGACATTATTTCACTAGACTTAGATGTAGTGCAAAGAGTGTAAAAATGTAAAAGTTGTCTTACTAGCATACTTAAGAAGTGTTTCCCAAAAGCTTGTAGATAAAAATAATATTAAGAGTATCTGAAGAATTATTTTTGACCTGTAGGAGGAGCCAAAATGGCATGCCTTAAAGAAGTACTGGTTGTTTTTGTTTCAGTTTTAAGTTCTTTCACTGTTTTGAAGAACACTAATGTACAAATCAGAAAATTAATCAGTAACACAAACTGATTTAACTGTTTTTGCACAATTGATTGGCCAGTTTGCCTAAAATATTCATTTCCTAAAAGCCAAATGTCACTTAATGCTGCTTCTCTTTTTTACGGAGTACCAGTTGTTTTGCCACACACATATCAGACTGATGCAAAAATTATGACATTCATAATAAATGCCATGAGAGCAATAATCTCTTCTCCAAAGACAGATTGGTCATTGATCATTCTGTGTTTTACTAATCTTCCGTTTTTTTTATGTTCAAAGTGAGCAAAGAAGCTCCAAAGACTGATGGAAGTGACCACGACGCTCAGTGTGCACATTCAGACATCAAGGCTGAAGGAAGGAGTCATGAGACACACAGAGGGGACACTGCTTTTCCTCATTATCAACCAGAGAGATATGATGACAAAGGGAAGGACATTTTAAAGGGCTACAATGGTGATTTGCC